CCCAAAAAAATTATTTTATTTTTTATGATAAAACTCGTCCGAATAATTTAATAAATCTTTTTCACTGAATAAATAAATATCTAATTTAATACAAACATTCAATTCTCGGCACAACTATTATATTTATAACTTTCTCTAAACGTATAGATATCTGCAAACATTTGACGATTTGTTGAATAAATAACAGATATTCTGCTTTTTAGGATAAATATTTTGATAGAAAAATTTAAATAATATATTCAATAAATAACTTATAAGAAAAATTGCACAACAAAATTGTTATGACACTCTTGTGAGGACAAAGTTTTTAGTTTACTCTTAGTTAAGCAAATAATCAAAATCTTAAATGTATTTTATTTGTACTTTTCTTTTCTCTTAGTTTTCCTTTCTTTTTAGGATAAACTCGGATTAAGAGATGAGGGGATAAAATGTTTGAGAGAGAGAGAGAGAGAGAGAGAGAGAGAGATTTGCCAATAAATTGCCATTTGTTGTACTGAAAACAAATAATTTTTAAAAACTAAGTATAAAACCCATCCGTCTATCGACTCCACAGTCTATGTGCACTTCAGTCTCAATACAAATACTATCCGACAGTTCAATAGTGAAGCACAAGAATATTGGGGAATAAGGTTTTCATCATTTTTCAATTTTTTAACTAAAACTTTATCTAAGAAGAGCTCAATAGTTGGATCGAAAGAGAGAGAAAAATTGTTATCTTAAGTCAAATTCGAAACAAAATCAAGTCTTAAACGAGAAATAAAAGTATAAATGACTTGAGTTTTACTCTTATTATATCTCTGAAGGAAAAAGATATAAAGAGTTTTAGTGACTAAGCCTTCGCTCTTTATATTAGGTTTTCTCCTCTATTGACACACAAAACATGCAATAATTTGCCTCAAAGTCTATCAAACATATGAAAGAGTGAATAAGTGCGTGAGAGAGAGAGAGAGAGAGAGAGAGAGTGAGAGAGAAACACTGTCTGTTTGGACGCGAAAAGTAATCAACAAAAATAGTTATAATGTATTATTCGTTAAATGAATGAATGATTGAGGGCTTCGGGGAATATAATGACAAAAAGGAGTTACAAAAAAGTTTGTCTTAATTGTATAATATATTTAATAATAAGTGAATGAACACTACATTCGCTGCAATCGATATGAGTTGGCTTTTTAGGCGACACACAGAATATTCTGTTGTGTGAAATGTGGGCAAAAAAATCTTATTTATAAATATAAGGATCAGAAAAGGAGAAGAGAGAGAGAGAGAGAGAAGTTTTTCATTCATTTGGTATTAAAAGAATAAAAAATATTATGAAAAAAGAGACAAAAAAATATAAGAATTATTATTAGAGTTTCAAAAGTGTTTGTGAAGTGAATGTGTGTTTGGATTATAATATAAGACTAGAGGATAGAGAGAGAAAAGAAACCTAAAAAACTTGGCATTGCGTGGGGATAGGGATATAGCACAGGGAGGGATGTCAGTGAGGCAGTGCCAGTGCGAGAGGTATTGGTGCTGTCGGGGCTCATGGAATGATGGATGTGCTTATGTTAGTGGCATTTTGATCGATTAAAACGATATGAAAGTGAAGGCATACCGTTCCCTTCAGATGACATACACATGAGAGCCGACACTTTGAGCCGAAATACGACTTTTTTGTGTGTCGTTGCTGTGACTCAAACTCTACCACTCATTGTACACAACACGGACTGACTGTACAGTAATGTAACGAATAATAAGTTATATATTTTGGCTGATTATGAACGCAAACCAGTCTTACAATGGGGTCAGGCTTTCGGTTGCCGTTCCGCAGACATACAAATATCGTCGATAACAATGGCGTGCCATTCATCTCATTATCATTGAATTTGGCTTTTATTTGGTTTTTCTTTTTTATGCCAACAATTGTATTGAAAGTTAACGTGAGTTTGATTAGTGTCACATAGATTTGACATTAATGGCACAGCTGTAGCAGCCCTTCCCCTCTATCCATCGCCTTTCTCTCCATCCCAGGGCTTACTTTCCATTCATTCATTCATTTGAGTCTTTAGTTCACAATTAGCATAAACTTTACAGAGAAAGCTATTATTAAATCAAACAATACATCAATTTCTGTGACACTAATTCATTGAACAGAAAAAAGATTCATTTCATATTCACTACAATTTTGATGCTAACAATCGATAATCAATTATAAACTTAATTACGCCAATAAATCTTACTCTTAATTATTCTCTCATTTTTTCTTATGTATTCACAAAACAAATATAAATGTTTTGTACGCTAATAAAGCAAATAGTTTTTTACGGAAATCCATTAAAAATTAATTAATCAAATATTTTTCTATTTACGAAAAGTTGAGAAAATTTATGCAAAAAATATTCTTAAATTCTACGCTAAAGTGGAGTTTATGTGGTTTTATATCATAAAATTTATATAAACATGAGATGAGATTTAATGAATTGAAAATTTATTTCATTTGACAAAAAATCAAATAAATATTCAAATTGAATCAATACTATTGAGGCACTTAATGGACAAACTTTTCCAAATACGAGATTAACCCAAAAAACTGCTGACAAACGACTAAAAAAGGAAAAGAAATACGAAAATAATGCATTGAATGATAAACACAAAGTGATTTCAATTCAAATCTATTTTATTTATATTCATGTGTTTTACAAATAATAAAAATGTAAAGAATCTGTTTTAAGTAATCAGTAAAACATGTAGTGAAACGAATATTTAAAAGTCGAGACTATAAATGATATTTAAGAGAGAATTGTATGTCACAAATGGTTATTAGAAAACATGAAAAGTAATAATAAATTATATGAAATATCATATTATTCCTGATATTGAGACAAATCTGCTGTAAAGACACGACTTATGGTGCAGTCGCCCGGCTATAGGGGAAAGACAGACAGAAATGGCAAATGGATTAACAAATCGACTAAAAGACATGTCATTAATCTTACGTCCGGTGCGACGCCGATCAGTGAAGACGCGTGTCCGTAGAACTCCTCTTTCAGTGATATTACGATACATTGAAACGACGACTCAGTCCTCTCTCGTATGAAACGCGCGACCTATCGATCCATACGACACAACACACCACAACACGCATTAGACATGACATCAATCGATGGACAGGAGTTTGTGACATACCTTTCCAATGTTGGTGTTATCGAGTGCGGCGTCGATCTCGTCCAACACGAAGAACGGCGCGGGTTTGTAGGAGTGGATGGCAAACAGGAGGGCCAGTGCGGCCACAGTCTTCTCACCACCGCTCAAGTTGCTCATCGGTTGGAAGCGTTTGCCGGGCGCCACACAGTTGTAGTTAATGCCCTCCAGGTATGGCTCTTCGGGGTTCTCCGGCACGAGGAAGGCCTGCGCCGACGCGTTGTTTGTCAACGACTTGTATATCGAGTCCACTCTTTGGGCCACGTTTTCGAAACACAGATTGAATTCTCGTAATCGGTTTCTCTTGATCTCCTCGAACGCCATTTTGGCTTTCTTTGAGTCGAGTCTCAAATTGTTGACTTCAGAGTCCGTCTCCTTCAGCCTGTCCTTTACGTCTTCGAGCCTATCGTCCGAAACACCAATCAATCAAATCATGCCTTCAATTACTGAACACAAAAAACTACTCACTTATCGATAGCTCTCATGTTTGGCGCCTGTATTTTACGCAAAACCTCGCGTTTGCTATTAATCTCGGTTTGCATTTCTCCCTCTTTCTTCTTGATAGCGTCCGAATCATTCATCTGAAACACAAAAACCAATTCAATTAACACATAAATCCATCAAATCTTATCAAAAATACAAACATTTTTAAGACTATTCTTAAGTATAGAGAAGTCCGGTTTGACGTTAGAGTCGTTCTCATAAGAGCGTTGAGTGGACGGGCCGTCGTCGTCATCCTCATCATCGGCGTTGCCGTTAGTCTCGCCGTCATTATTGTTGGTCCCGCCGGCGGCGATGTCGTTGAGGTCACCGGACACGAGCGGCAGTTCAATGCACTCCATCTTACAGTGCAAAAGGATCGCATGTCTGTCCGCTTTCTTCGACTCGAGCCTACACTCGATCTGCATTAAGGCCTTCTGCGCGCCCGACAACTCCTTCTGCACGCCCGACAGCCCTCTCTTCACTTCCGTGATCTCGTCCTCCACTGAATCGCATTCAGTCTTTTTGGAGATCTTGTCGTTTTTGAGTTGTTCCACTTTCTTCATCTCCTCTTCGATGCCCTGCATCTCCTTCTTCTCGGTCTCTCTGGCCGTCTGCAGGTTCTTCTCCTCGTCCGACACCACTCTCTGCCATCTCTTCACGTTCTCATTCGTGTCTTTGCTCTTCTCGTACGCCAATCGACTCGAGAATGAGTTCATCTCATTCTCGAACTGAAGCCGAATCTTCTCGTTCTCTTGAGTCGCTTTGTTCTGTCGCTCTTCGTATTGGCGGATGTTTTCGACACCCAATTGGACGCAGAAGTCTGAGAATATCGTGTCTTCGACCGAATTCATCGAATCGCGGATATCATTGATCTTAACCTCTCTCTCCTTCATTCGCGAAGAGATCTCTTTGATTATGGGATCAAACGCTTTCAGTTTCTTCTCTAACTCTTTGATTTCACGCTTGAAGTCTTCGTTATTCTTCTCGGTCTGCGTCTTATCGCTGCGACAGTACTTCAGACGTGTGTCTAAGCCTTTGATTTGACTATTAATGACCATTAAGTCGCTCTCTTTCCTGGTCTTCTTGAGCTCCTCCTTCAGACTTTCAGCTAACTTCTCCTTTTGGTACTTAAGTGAATGCAACTCCTTTTCGTCCCAACGACGGGCCCTCTTCTCGAGGTCAGCGCTGCCGCCGGATATAAATCCGCACTTCTGATAGAAAGTGCCGTCGAGTGCGACCGCGTCGTACCGCTTGCCGTCTCCTAAATCAAAGGCCACGAGATTGGCGTCTTCGGCCGTCTCGCAGACCAACGCGTTGTTCGTGGCGTAGAGAACCGCTCTCTTGATGGCCGGCGGATCGTATTTAATGACATCGTATAGCAGTTTCACAGCCTTCGGGTGCTGTATATTGCGGAGCCGTTCCTTCACTTGTTTCACTTCGATGTAGTCGAGGGGGAGGAAGGTCTCCGGTTCGAGCATTTGCTCCTTTAAGTACTGAATGCATTGCCGGCCGGTCTTCTCGGAGTCCACAATAATGGCGTTCATGTTCTTTCCCATCACTTTCGTGATCGACATGTTATACCTCTTGTGTATGGGTTTACACATATTCAGCAGTCGGTCGAACACTCCCGGGTATAGCTTCTTGAGATTCTCCACCACTTCTGCCTTCTTCTTACGCCTCTCGTCCTCATGTCTGTCCACTTTGGCGTCGCCTAACTCGCGGTTAATGGACTCCAACTTAAGGGTGATATTCTCGACCTGTTCTTTGCTGGAGTTGACGATCGCCTCGATCTCCACCTTTTTCTTCGTCAGGTCCTGGAGATTGGTTTCACTCACTTCGAGATTGTCTCGCAATTTGTCGATTCGCTTGACATTCTCATCCAAATTGTTTTGCAGGACTCGTATGCGGGACTCGATGTCCATCTTTTTGCGCATTTCGTTCTCATTCCTGTCCTGATCGGCCTTTTGCTCCCTTTCCAGCGAATCCAAGTCTTTGAGATACTTCGCCGACAGACGCGCCGCCTCTTCCTTCAGCCGATTGTACTCTTTCTTCTGGGACTCCTTGAGCACGACATCAGTCTTATGCAACTCCTTCTCCTTCGCCATCTCCTCCTTCCACTTCTCGTAGCGTTCGGTCACTTTATTCAAGTCCTCCTCGAGCTCTTTGATGGTGTTCTGGTGGTTGTCGTGAGCCTTAATGGCGGACGCCTTGGACTTCTTGGCGGTGTCCAACTTCTTCTCGATATGCGACGCGTTTTCCTTAGCCTTTATATACGTCGGCCGCTTCTTATTGAGGTTCAGCTCCACGTCCCGTATTTTGCGGTCAATTCCCGACAACTCTTTACTAATTTTCGTCAGATTCTGCTTCTTATTCCTCACTTCGGTCTCAATCTTCTCCTTCTGTTTGATGTGTTTATCCATATCCTTGCGCTTGCGATCCATGTCCTCCTGGAGCTCCGAGATGTCGTCCTGAATGTGATACAGTTTGAAGAGCTGGAGGTCTATCTGGACTTTGTTGAGCTCCTCGCGCAGGTTCTGGTACTTCTTGGCCTCATTGATCTCTCCCTGCGCCTCCTTCTTCTCGGCCGCGATGCCCTTCTTCTTGACGTACATGTGATGCAACTCCTCCTCCGAGCGATCCATTCGTACCTTTTTGTTGACATAATCCTCTTTAAACTCATTGCTGCGCGAGATCTCCTCGAAGAGGGCAGTGATCTCTCGCGGGTTCTTCATGGCGATCGACTCGACGGCGCCCTGATATACCAAGAAGTTGCGGGCCTTGACATTGATGCCCAACCGCTCCAATCGGGTCGCGTAGTCCTGTTTGGACACCACATTCTCGTCGATGCGGTACTCGGAGCTCGAGCCCAGCACCAGCCGCTGGAAGCGAGTGATCCGATTCGTGTCCGCGTCCCTGTAGACCAGACACACGGACGCCTGCGTGCCCACCGGGCGCCCGATCGACGCCCCGTGGATCAGTTCCGACAGCTTCTTCACGCGAAGATTGTTTGTCTTCTCCCCCAACACGAAACTGATTGCGTCCATGAAATTGGATTTCCCGGAACCGTTGGGTCCGATGACAGCCGTGAACTGCTTCAGCGGTCCGATTCGCTGGTGTCCCGAATAGGACTTGAAGTTCTCCACTTCAATGAACTCCAGAAATCCCGGCATTTCTGCGCCGATGAGCTGATCCGAGACGATGAGACACTAGCTATGAATGGCAAACACTATGACCGCGATTATCACGTGCACATCGTGTGGTCGATGTCTTGGCGTTGGTGTCAATGACACGGAAATGAGTGGATGACGGCTGAATCGGTGGTAAATGACAATTGGATCCAATGATAGCAACACTTATCACTCTTCAGCCGATGTTTTGATTGACAGACAAATGGCGGCAAATGAGTAACGCATGCGTTCACTGCTGTAGCCATTCAAGTGTTGGACCTTTTTGTCAGTATAGCGCTCGTTGTATTCTTAGCATACGGTGTGTACCCAAATGGAGCCATATGTTCGCAACCATACACTCGTGTATTGAACTTAGTGTTTGTGTTTTGCTTTGGATTTTTGTTTTGTATTTTGAAAATCTTTTTGACATTTATTCGCTAATTGTTTGAAATGTGTTTCAAATCTAATGTTCAGATAATGTGACTAAAGTTTTCACACCATTTCAGCCATTGATTGTCACCTCAATTGATGCCCTATTTATTGATATGATATGATCGCCACAATTGTCTGCCAAACGGATCCCAGTATTTGAGTTGACGATCGCATTGACAGCCATTTGGTGAGCCATACGTACCATCGATGAGATGATGAACGAAGACATCGGTGACGATAAGAAGGCTTCGGGACAGTCGTCGGCCAATCATAAGTTCACTCTTCAGGAGAGGATTGAATTAATAAAAATCTTTTACAGCGGAAAGTCTCTCAAACAGACGGCACGTGTGTTCGCCGAAAGACATCCGGATTGCGATCATTTGCCCACTTCTTCGGGTATCACACGACTGGTCCGCAAGTTTGAGACGACAGGTGAGTGACCGGATGTCCACCGGATGTGCATCACTGGCGCCCACGTGTTGATTGTGTCTGTATTTTAGGCTCAGTTCTCGATAAGCGAATCCCCGGCCGCCCGAAGACCAGTCGCGTGCAGTTGTCGGCCAAGCAGTCGGAGATCAGTGCGTGTGATTGGCCCGGATGTCAGTACGTGAGCAACAAGAAGTGTATGGCTAGACATAAGTTGGTCCACAAGACTGAGCGCGACTTCGAGTGCGATTGGCCCGACTGTCACAAGCGATTTAAGTCGAGTCTCAGTCTTAAGAACCACTTACGCATCCACTACGACGACAAGAGGTATGCTTGCAATTGGCCCGGATGTCAGTACCGGTGCGTCGACTCCGGCAATATTCGCAAACATAAGAAAATACACGAAAAGCAATTTCGCGGTCTTCTCAAGCCCGATGTGTTTAACCTCAAGACTGAACTCAAGACCAAATCCGATGGCAGTTCCGAAGAGAAAGAAGATAATAGTATCGGCTTTTGAGACACTGTTTCGTGTAATGAATATTGTTTTATATATTTTATCATTTTTAT